AATGGGATACAAAACAAAGTCCAGTGTGAGTGCTGGGGTGGGGTGGGAGGACAGAACTTTAAAACTTCACAACATGGGTCAAAAATCAGGTTCCCTAAAGCTTGGACACTCCATCTTGTGAAATTCCGCAGTGCTAAGAACTGTATCTTTAAGATATCCATGCATCTCTGGAAATGTTGATATTCCAGACAGGCTATGCACATTCCTTCACTCCACCAGAGTTTCTTGGGTCCCGGTCACACGGGCAGGAAACTGCGGGGGGGAAGTGTGGCAGTTTGCCCCGGGACAAACTAAGGCGCGGTTACCTGATCAGACCTCCCGTGGAGGTACTGTGGAGGTTCCGTGGGAAAGGAGAGGTGCCGATGGCAGGACAATCCCGGCGCGCAAAAACGAAGTGCGCGGTGCGGCAAACAGGAAGGTTTTTTTTGTTTACACCATGACTGCGCATGCTCCGTTGTGTGCTTTTGCGCATCCACAAAGACATGAAGAAAAAAAAAACTTTTTCGCCAGGGAACATGGGCGGGCGCCGGATGCCACCGGAAACGCGATCAGACGCCCGCCCTTGCCCCGCGGTTTCCGTAAACTAGTACCTCGGAGGTACTAGTTTTTTGCCGCGTGGTTTCGGCAGGAAGCCTCGTTTGAGCCACGGGAGTGCTACACTTCCCAGATGTGCCGGTGAGATCGCGCCCGGAAAACCCGCATGTCTTCCGTCTGACTCGCATGGCTAATGTTCCGTGTGACCGCAGCCTTGGAGTCCCTCTTCCCCCTAGGTCTTGTGTGTGAGGAAAGGGGGGGGGATCTCTTTTTATCCCCTAGCCTCTTTCTCTCATGCTTTTGCTGCATACTTTGCCTTTCACTTACCCCGTTCTGCCCTGAGACTTCCCTCCCCCCACTCAAATTCATGGCCTTCAGCCTCTCTCATCTTCCCAGCAAGACTGTCTCTGCTGTCTGCTTCCTACCAAGAGTATACAGGTCTTATTTCCCTAAGTGAATATTTTTCTCTCAGGTAAGCTTAATTTTCACTTCCCTTCAAAAATAAACAAACAACAAAAAAAACCAGCCCTGTGATGCTTGTCAGCATTTTGTTGTTGACTCTTTTCTCCTCAGAAGTTAGATGTTCTCTGTTGGCTAGGGGTAGCTCAGAGAGTAAGGGACTTCTGAGGAATTACTGGGGAGGGAAGATCCATTCCCCCTTTTTATTCTCCCCCCTCACCTTCACCTTTTTCCTGTCTCCTGTGACTCTCCCCCCAATCACTACCTCCTCCTCCTTATTGTAGTAGAGATGGGACATTTGTACTACATTATCCTGGCAGTACCTTTAAGGCAGTTTCTTAATTTTTGACGGCCTTAGATGTTGGTACTTGGAGAGGGTGATTACTACCAAATTGTGTGCCTTACTTTTTACAAAGTTAAGATTTTTCTGCAATCCTGGGTTTGCAGAATTTTCATTCAGCTAGCCCTGTTAGGCAGATTTTGCTTTCTCCCTGCAGGCTAGCACGTCACAGTGAGATGAAATTTTAGCTTAGCATATATGTAAGATGCTGCTCCGTATGGGACCTGTTGTTTGCCATCTTGGTAAGCAAATATTTTTGCCCCAAGGTAGTAAAAAGTGTTCCCTGGGCTTCTCCATTTAACTCCCAACTGCTCCTTGCCTCATTTTAAAACAGAAAGCTGAGATGGAGGGCTGTGTTTTCTTTTTGGCCAGTGTGGAAATTGTGTGGGTTTCTTTAATGACAGGCACTGGCCTCCGTCTGTGCTTTGTGGTTTCCAGTTCCTTCTGCACGTGTGTGTTTCTATTTGTATCCTGGATGCAATTACCCTTTTTCCTTTTGTTTGTTTCTTTCTCCCATTCTAAAAATTTAAAACCTCCTTCCCTTTTCCTCCCATTATGCTGGTCTCCCTTCTACAAATTTCAGGCCAAATTCCAGGAGCTGTTTGGGAGGAGTAAAAAATGTCACCTTAGACCCTGTGGCCATCGCCAGCTCCTTCCTCAGAGAAACCTGCCACTTGAAATTATTGAAATGAGGCCCGATCCACACTTGTCATTTGGGGATTTTTTTTCAGCCAGCTCCTGAGGACAACCCTTATGAACTGTCTCACCAAGGGTTAAAGCAGTGGTGACCTCATCAAGAGAGATTGGCTGCTAGTTAGGTAATGGAATAACAATTTTTAAAAAGGCTCTTTTCCAGCCCTGTGCAGTACTTCAGTTTGATGTAACATTGATAAGGAAAGAGTGGCGAAGAGGGGTTTTTTTAAAATAAAAAAAAATCTTCAGACCACAGCTCATATTTTTATTTATTTATTTAGGTATTTTCAGTGGGGACTCAAAGCAGCTTACAGCATCATTCTGTTCTCTTACATTTTATTTTTATTTTATTTACTTAAAACATTTATTAGCCAGTTTTCTACCTTACAGAACTCAAGGCAGCTTACAATACAAACAGAAGGGGAAAATCTAAAATACATTTAAAACCCTCAAATTAAAATCACGATTTACAACAGCCAATGCACACAAAAAAACTAATCAGATTTTATCCTCACAGCAGTCCTGTGAGGTGTGTTTAGGCTAAGAGTGACTGGCTTGAGGTCACCCAGTGAGCTTTCATGGCAGAGTGGGGATTTGAACCTGGGTCTCCCAGATCCTAGGTTGACACCCTAAACTCTATGGCATGTTAGGAAAAAAGGGAAAGATACTCTAGCAAAAAGAAACACTCCTGCTGCAAATCCCAAACTTCGACCCAAGTATCACGTCTGCCGAGATCTAAACTGGCAAAGAGTCTCTCAAAGCCTCAACAGAGATCTGTGTTTGAACATGGGGCTGGCCACTAAGGCCAAGTTGCTTTTAGTCCCAGTATAAAGAAAAAATGCCCAGGGTACATCATGTGTGTTTTGTTTCTTTCTCTAGGAGCTAAAAGCAGTTAGGGACAAACAGACACGGGTTTGCTCAGGGAACTGGTGCAGGGGGGTTTTTTTTTGAAAGAGTTGCCTCCTACCTTCCCCAGTGCTGTGACGCTGGTCCATATCAGGGGTCCTCCCATGGCTGTTTTTGTTAAAGGCAAAATTATGTTGTGTGATTAGACTGTCCAGTGGAAGTTGTTCACTTTTCAGAGGACAAATTCCCAATGAAACACCTTGAACTTGCCCTCCATAGACGCTTATCACTCTGTCTTCATAGGGGATAGATTCCTCCTTGAGAACTTTGCTCTTCCAACTCACCATCCTTAGCCATTCCTAGATCTATCCCTTAATGGACTCTGCCCTTTGCTATGATTTATGTCTGCACCTCCATCCCAGAACCCCGTGTGATGCCCCCCCACTCTCATTTTCGTGGAAACTAGGGTAGCCAAGCCTGGCTTGGTAACCAGCAGGAGACTGGGGAGAGGGGAAATAGGGAGGGGCATCTGTCAACCTCTGGTGTCACTTCTGGGGGAAACCCTGGAAGTAATGTTACTCCTGTCTGGGAATCGCTGGAAGTTTTCAGTGATTCCTAGAGAGGCATAACATCATTTCCAGGGTTTCCTGGAAGCAATGTTATCTCATAGGCCACTGACCATTTGTAATTTTATTTTTCTCCTGCCTCTGCTCAGACCAGTGATGGGAAACAGAAGCTGGGGGTGGGGAATGCCCCACCCCCACTGGAGACTAGCAACCCTAGTTGAAGCTGAATCCAATGGGAACCAAGCACATGGGATTGACCTGCACATGCTTTATTCCTCTGTTTTGCCTCCATGACCCTTAGCTCCTTCTGTAGCCTCTAGCCTTTGTCGAATTTTAGACTGTGACGTTGAGGTGCAAACCTGTAAAATGTTACATAGATTGATGATGTCAGTCAATAAAGTTTGAGTGGGGGAGAACTCTTCCTCTCGTTCCACACCAGGTACTTGGGACACCTGTGGGTTGGAGCACGTACTCCTGAATGCAGCCATTTTACTTTCTCCCGTAGAAATACATGGGAGCCACTGATTTGGGTTACAGTTAGGTCACAGATGAGGTGGTGTGGCTGAACCTGATGTCCTGCCACCCAATTTGTATAAAACGTTTTTCTGATGTCTCAACTATGTCTCCAATTGCAGCTCTTTTATTTTCTTTCATTCAAATAAGTGGTTCTCACTTCTGTGGGAGAAATGAAAACAGCTGTGTGCACATGCTCTCTAGAGGACAGGAGGATACACTACAACAGAAGCGAGGCATGCCCAAACCATTGTAGTCAGGGAAACGGGTTTATTTTTGTTTTACTGAAGGCTTGTCAAATTTGATGGGTGGGAAATAAGTGAGAGTTCCAGATTTCTTTCTTGCCCCCCTTCTTCTTCCCATCCCTATTCTCACCCTCTGCCTACCCTTCGTCATGAGAGACAATGAGGAAAACTAGAATCAGGTCTATCACAGGTAGTCATATTCTTGTGCGGATTTCATTTCAGTGTCATGGCCAGGGCTCAGTGGTAGAGCATCAGCTTATCATGTAGAAGGTCCCAAGTTTGTTTCCTGTCATCAGGGCTTAAAAGGGGTCATGGGAACCAGATGATGGAGAAAGTCCTTTCTCTGCCTGAGACCACCAGAGAGCTGTAGACTATGATGAGCTCGATGGGCCCATGATCTGTAAGCTTCTTATATTCATATCCTTGGGCTTGGCAGAAATTACAGCCACAGAAGTAGGATTGCTGATTCTGGATTGTGAAATTCCTGGGAATTTGGGGGTGGAGCTTGGGGAGGTTGGCATTTGAGGAAGGGAGGTACCTCAGCTGGGTTTAGTGCCCATAAAGTCCATCTTCCAGTAGGTCAGTTGTCATTCCAGGAGAAGCCCAGCCCCACTTGGAAGATGGCGGCCTTACACAGAGGGTAGAAAACAGTTCAGAAAACTGTTCTAATGATGATAGGTAAATTGAATGTTCTAAAGTGACATATTCTGCTTTCCCCCTTTTTATTTAGGCCTCTGCATCCTCTGATTTCCATGGTTGCCTGAAACTTGACTCAGTAAGACACGCACTCGGAAACAAGGAAATTCGCTTTCTCTAAATTGCCATCTTTGGTACTTTTCAGGGTTGTAGGATATCCTGATTCCCACCTGCCTGTTTTTTTTCCCTGAGATGAGTTTTGGAGATGGAAGGCTGCAAGGCCTGTGATGCGTAAAGGATTCCATGTGATTTTTTTAAAAGCTGTTCTTACTGAAGAGCAAATGGTGGTTTTAGATCCCTCACCTCATGCCTGTTGATGGACGATTCAGCTGCAGTTGCCGTTATCCAAGACCGTGACATGGAAGAGAAAATGAGTCAGAGTTCCCGGTTGGCCGAATCGCCTCAGATCTCTAAGAGCACTCTCCTCACCATCTTGGGCAGCCCTCAGCCTGAGAGGATGAGCCTCTCTGATTCCATGCCCCCCACCCCAAAGAGTGGCACCCCCTCACCCGGGCCACCTCAGCTCCCTTTACTGAGCACCAGTTGCCTTGATGGCGACTGGGAAAGCCGTGAGGAACTACGCCTGCGTGAGCTGGAGGAGGCCCGAGCCAGAGCAGCCCAGATGGAGAAGACTATGCGATGGTGGTCGGACTGCACAGCCAACTGGAGGGAGAAATGGAGCAAGGTGCGCGCCGAGCGGAACAAGGCCCGGGAGGATGTGCGCCAGCTGCGCCAGAAGCTGGAGACCCTGACCAAGGAGCTGACCAGCCTCAAACGGGAGAGGCAGGAGGTTCTGAATGAGAACGAGCAACTGAGCAAAGAAGTGGCGCGGCTGAAAGGGGAAGGCGAGGGGGAGAAGGAGCTGGACAACCGCGTGGCCTCCGAAAAGGAAAGCGAGGCCTCTCCAGAACAGGAGCCTGTGCGAGACGTGGGTTCTGAGAAGCTGACAAAGAACAAGGTAAGGGGAGAGGGAGGGACAAGCAGAGAGCCTCACAATATTTATTTGTATCAAATTTTGGTGAATCCTGCTTTTTTCCTGATGAGCAGGACTGAAAGCAGCTTATATCATTCAAACTAGCTATAATCTATTTTTTTTACAAAAATACAGCATAAATAACAAGAGGAGAGCGAGCCATTTAGGGTTGCCAGGCTGAACCTGGCATCCAGCTGGAGGGTTGGAGGGGCCCACAGTGTCACTGACATCCCTGTATCGCTTCTGGGTACAGCCCAGAAGTAACAGATAGCTCTAGGAATCGCTGGAAACTCTTTATTATAGCCGGAAGTGACGTACTGCCCCAGCGGCCTGCCTCAGACAACAGCAGCAATCAGTGGGAGACTGTCGTGGGAGGCCTGGCAGTGCCACCCATCGTAATAAACTTTATTCCCAAGCCACCAAAAGCATGAAGGAAAAGCTCTGCCTTACAGAACCTCTGAAATCTCTGCAATTATGCCACCTTTCCACCCAAATAGGGTCCCCAAGGCTGCGAAAGTGAAAAAAATGAAAACTTTCAAACAATAAAACAGCATTTAAAATAATACATCAAATAACGTCAATAAAATAAAACATATAAACACACGACACCAAAACCAAGGAGGAGGGCCAATAACAGAAACAAACAAATCTTCATCTGCTGGTGGAAGACAAAGATAGAGTGAAACAGACAGATCTCCCTGGGGAGGGAGTTTCAAAGCTTCGGTGCCATGACTGAGAATGCCCTTTCTAAGGTTACCACTTGTTCGGCTTCAGATGGCGGGAGCACCCACACAAGGATCTCCAAAGATCACCTGAGTGGACAGGAAGGTTCCTTTTTTATTTTTTTAAATCCCCGGAGGGATATTTTTTTTATTTTGCAATACTACAAAAACTACAAATGAAAATAATGGGAAGGGGACTACAACTAGGGATAAAGGAAAGATAACCACACTATGCTAAAACCCCAAGAGGAGGAGATCTTATCCCTGTTAGTATAAGTGTTAGTACTAAAAGTGTTAATATCACAATATACTTGTAGAGTTCTTGTTTATCACAGCTTCAAAT